AAAAAAAAAAATTTCACGTAAATAAACGAACGAATGCACTCATTATGGATTAATCGTAAAACGTCCTTGCCATTTTTTTTTTAAAAATCATCTTCGAGAAAAATTTTCGATATTATGTAATTGAAAATAATATTTATATATAAAATTTCTTAATAATAATAATAATAATAAAATGTTTAATAATCGTGTTGTTATAAAAAATATTACAAAAATAACGGATAATTTGTAATAAAAAAAAAAAAAAAATGGCGCGAGCGAATCAAATTTTTTTTTTAAATTTCCCTTCTCTCTCGTACGAAAATAATATTATTATCATTATTATCATTATTATTTTACATCATTTAAAAAAACACAATGCTTTTATTTTTTCGATTGCAAAAAAAAAAAAAATAGTTAATCTCTCATAATGATTATTTATGTATCCAGTATTTATTGCCAAATAAAAAATGTCGTCGTTGCGTACTATACTCCCCATTGTCTGTATCCGAAATTGTTATATAATTTCATCTTAATTTATTCTTTGTTAATTATTTTTAATTGTACGTGTATAAAAGAAAGAAAGAATGAAACAATCACCCAATGTGTTTGTTTGTTTGTTTGTGTTTGTATTTTGCAAAGGACAAACCTTTTGTAATGTTAAATTAAACGTATAAAGTTTTCTTTTCCCTAATTAAAAAAGCAACATGTTAAAATAATGTCAAAGGTGATTGCAGTAGGGGTAGTGGTAGTAGTAGTGGTGGTTGTAGTGATGGTGGTAGTAGTGGTGGTGGTGGTGGTGGTGGTGGTGATGGTAGAAATCAATTAAAAAATAATGAAAATTGAATAATCATTTTAAATAGAAGGTCGATTGTTTTATTTTTTAATTGATAATTCTTGTCACTATTATTATTATTATTATTATCATTATTATTATTATTATTAAGAATCATTGATTGTCGACGAAAAACTTGGACGTTTAAATTCAAAAAAAAAAAAAAAAAACTTAAAGACCATAACAAATTATTAATATTTAAATTAATTATTTCTAAGAAATAATTATAATAATGATAATAATAATTTTAAACAGGTACGAAATGGTGCGGAACCGGAAACGTAGCAAATTCATATAACGACCTTGGGATATGGGTTAAAGAAGATAGATGTTGTAGAGAACATGATCATTGTCCGATACAATTAGAGCCAGGTCAATGTAGGAATGGTATTTGTAATTTTTCACCCTTCACAAGGTTTTAAATTAAACAATACCTAATTTTTTTTTTAAATATGGAAGACATTTTTTTTATTAAAATAATTTTTTTCAGGTCTCATTGCGATTGCGACAATGCGTTTAGAAGGTGTTTGGAAAAAACTAAAAGTAACATAGCAAATATAATAGGTTCGATTTATTTTAACGTTGCTCAAGGTACATGCATTTCAGAAAGAAGGTTTTGTCCACAGGCTATGAGGTGAGTATCGTCATCAATAATAATAATAATACCCTCGATTGCTAAACTTTTAGTAAAAAAAAAAAAAACGGAAACGGAAATGATATAATTTGTTTTGAAGTAGGTGCAGCGTAGGAGAATTTCGTCGGAATCGACCGTATAAACCTAGCAGTAGTTTTAGTTTTAGTAGTGGTAGTGGTAGTAGCGGATTAGTTAGAATTTATAATTTAAAAAAAAAATTATTTTCTAATTTATTTAGCGGTATATTCGGCGGTAATAGACATCTTATAATTTTATAAAAAATCTATCTTTTATCACGCGTACCACACCAAAATCCAATTTAATTTTTTGTAATTTTATTAGTAAAAATTTTAGTTTTTTTATTTTTTTATTTTATTTTATTTTTTCCCATACGTTTACACGCAAAAAAAGTTAAAGTGCCAAAAATCCTTCGATTCTTCCTCCCGCTCCTACTCCTCCTCCTACTACTCCTACTCCTACTACCTTCCTCGACTACGATTTATCGTTTAAAAATATAAGGAAATCTATTCTCGCGATCTTGGAATAACATCACACAATCACAATCACAACAACAACAACTTCCTGGAGGAAATTAGTATCGTTTAATTTTTTTTTTTTTTTTTTTTTTGTATCATAAAATTATTTTACATAAGTTTTGATAAGTTTTTTATTTTGATTAAATTAATAAATTAACACGTGGTACTACTGGTAGTAAGTACGAAATTAACACGTGGTACTTACTGGTAGTAGTAAGAAATTAACACGTGGTACTTACTGGTAAAGTAATAAGAAAAAAAAATAATTTTTTTTTTTTTAATTACACGGTAGTAATAATAACTTTGTGAATATTAAAATAATTTTTTTTTCTCCCCACCTCCCCCCCCTTTTAAACATTAATAATAATAATAATAATTTTAATTGAAAACAATTATTTTTTATTGATATTTTATGGTATTAAATAATAATGATAAGGATAATAAAATTATATTAACTTCGTTAATAATAAGTTTATTTTTTTTTTTTTATTTAAAATCCTCCAGTTTTAAAAAAATATAAAATTTTTTTAAAGTTGTTGTGGTTGTTGTTTTTACTTCCCCAAAGGGTAATTTCAACCCTTAATACGTTTAAATAATAATAATAATAATAATAATAATAACGGCAAAAATAAAAATAAAAATAAAATGAAAAAGTTTTTTTTTTTTTTTTTTTTTTAACGATTTGTATATAATACGTGATAATTTTTTTTTTTTTTTAACGACTTTGTAGTTATTTATTTATTATTATTATTATTATTAAAATTTTAAATTGTTTTATCTATCGAATACTACATAAAAAAAAAAATTCAATTACAATTTATTATTATTATTAATAATTCTCGGTCGTAAATTACGCGGTTAATGTATGTAATTATTAATTTTTAACTCAACTTATTAATAATTTTTTCTCTTTTTCTTTTTCTTTTTCACTTATGTTACATAAACGTAAAAAAATATATGTACATAATTTAGGTCAAACTAATTTAATTAAATAATAAAAAATAAAAAAAATAAATTTTCAGAAACAATTTATCGTATTCGTGGTTTTGCGAAGAATGGAAATTTATGCCAGTCGACATTTACAAATCGCCATCTCTAACGTTCAACGATCTTTCAAATCATAATAATAATAATAATAATAATAATACTAACAATTATAAAACGATCGATAACGATTACAACGATAAAACCGTTAAAATTAATACGAAAAATAATTTGGAAATTATTTTCGGACAAGACGAAGAAGACGTTAAAAAAATATTAAATAAAAATTAAATTAATTAAATTATATTTATTTATTTATTTTATTCGTAAAATTATTAATAAAATGCCAAAAGAAGCGTGAGGAAAAATAAAAATAAAAAAAAGCAAACCGGAAAATCTCTTCGATTTTTTTTATTACTAATTATTATTATTAATACTTAAAGTTATAAATTAGTTAACTATACATTACATTAATATTATTATTATTATTTTATAGAAAAGTACGTGTTCGTATAAAAAATAATAAGAATAAATGAAAGAAAATATTTTTGTATATAATTAAGAGAAAAAAAAAAAAAAAAAAAATGTACGCGTTAAACAGATTATTTGGAAGAAACTCAACATAAAAAATTATTATTATTATTAATTACATAATTTTTTATATTACAAATAAAAAATAATGGCTAATTAATTATTATTATTATAAAAAAAAAACTAATTAAAATATTTCGAAAATTAAAAAGAATAGAAATAATTGATAACATAATCGAAATCGAAAAAATTCATTATAAATAATATATATATATATAAGTATGTTCATTGGTATAATGATTCAGTGAGTTGTCCTTTTTGATTAATAATAATCTTTTTTGGTAATACTATTTATGTTATTATTATTTTAGAAAAATGTTCTCGAACCTTTAACTAAATATTATTTTATAAGAATGAATATTGAATAATATGTTTTTAAATTAAATTTGTGACTTGTAACAATTTTTGTGCAGTGATTCTTGTATGTACACAACACACACACACATGTATCGTTTAATACATGGGTTTTGCATGATTTAAAAAAATCTGTTTTGTTTATTAAATTTATTTCATGGAAACCTATTGTTTTCTCTTTCGAATAAAACCTCATTACTGTTAAAATGTTTTTTTTTTTTGTTTTAAAAACTGTTCGAGTTTTGTATAAAATGTGCGAGATCTCAATAATTTTGTACAAAATTATGAGATGGTAACTTTGTTTTATCCAAATCATCAAAATAAGGATGTTTAACTGCTGCTTTTGCACTGATTCTCCTCGCTGGATCATAAATAAACATTTTTTGTAGTAAATCATAGCCAGTCTTATCCATTTCCCTTTTATTTAATTTTTCATTAATGGCAGTGTTTAAAGAATATGTCGTCCAATTTGGAAATGTTGGACTGAAATTCCTCAGATCGCTAACAGAGGGCCATGTTGTTTCATTTGGTGTTGTTAATATTCTATTTAGTAAAATTAATGTTTAAAATGTGTTAATGTTAAAATTATTAACTGCCATTAAGCTGTTTTATTTAAATTAAAAATTAATGATTGTGTTGTGTTTAATTTTTAAAAAAATTTGCTTTAAAATTATTCTCGATTCAATGATTAAAATTATAACATATATATATATTGTAAAATCTTACCTGAAAATTCTAAAAAGCTGATCGATTTCTGAATCTCCTTGAAATAGAGGCTTTTTTGTAGCCATTTCAGCAAATATACATCCGACTGACCAAATATCAACTGGACATGAATACCTTAGAGCACCTAAAAGTATCTGCAATTAAAATTTAAAAATTTTATTGTAAAACAATCTTATTCGAATCATACCAACACTTAAAGTTCATATCGTTTTTGATTTTAAATGCTTACCTCAGGAGCTCTGTACCATAGTGTGACCACTTCATGAGTATATGCTCGCACAGGAATTCCAAAAGCACGACCCAAACCCAAATCGGCAATTTTAATAATACTATCACCTTGAACTAGTAGGTTTTGAGGCTTTAGATCTCTGTGCAAAATTCTTCGTTGATGACAAAATAATATCGCATCCAAAATTTGATATAAAAATGATTTCAATTGAGCTTCTTCTAGGTATTTTTTTTCTAAATTGTCCAAGTATTTTTTGAGATCACAAGTCAAAAACTCGAATATTAAATAAAGTCCAGCATCTTCCATAATAACATCTTGGAGAGATACAACGTTTGGATTTTGTAATTCTTTAAGCAATGATATTTCTCTGATTGCAGTTGATGGTATTCCTTCATCTTCATTTTCCAGTCTTATTTTTTTCATGGCCACCATTGCACCGGTTTTTATGTTTTTACCACGGAAAACAACTCCATAAGTTCCTAATAATTAATAATTAAGTATCACGTGATTGAGGGAAATCATTAAAAAAATAAAAAATTGAATCAACTATAATGCATAATGTAAAACAATTATTGAGCAATTTATGACTTGCACAGAATGCATACTTTCAATGCACATATAAATTATTCTTTATTAATTGAAATAAACGGTAAAAATAATTTTCCTTCATACTATTATTAATTATGTATAATAAAAGTGTAAAACATAAATGATGGAGAGAAAAAAATTTCATAATTTTATATGGCCATGCCATAATAATTATCTTGGAAAAAATATTAATGAAATCTTACCTTCACCGATTTTTTCTATTTTTAAATAGTTTTCCATTTTTTAAACTTAAATGAACACTTTTTCACTCAACACGAATAAAAAAAAAATAAATATATAACCGAACTTACGCGCACACAAGAAAACAAACTACCACACAACGGTTTTTTGTAACCGCCACTTTGTCCTTGAGACGTTAATGTTGCCAATACGTGTGACTTACGCAGTCAAAAAAAATACTTTTTTTTTTTAAATAAATTTATTTTCAATTTATTTTATATAAATTTATAATAAATATTTTAAATTAAATTTTTAAAATCATTTATAAAATCTTTTTTAGTTTAAATCAATTAAAATAAAACACTTTATTAATAAAACTAAACTTGAATTGACTCTCGTTCTACAAGTTGGAACATTCCAAAGTGATGGAAAAAAAAAGAAACAGTTCAAATACTTTTTAAAATATTTATTTTATTATTTATATATAAAAACAAAAAAGTGTGAATAATTTTTTAAAAAATCAATAAGTTTTTTTATTTTTTCACAATAAATAATCAATATTAAATAAACAAACTTAAAAAACAGTTTAAAAGTAAAAGTTATTATAATTGCAGTTTTAAAAAAAACGTTTAATTTAAAATCGTTTGGAATAAAATAATAATTAATTAAAATTAATCAATTTCAAGTTTTTTAAATGATCCAACAAATATGTCGTTATCGGTTTCTTTCGGTCTCAAAGCATCTAATTTTTTCAATTCAATTTCTTCTTTCAAAAGACGAGAAGTGTATCCTTCGAGTTTAATTTTGAATTCGTCTGTAATGGCGGACAAGTAAGTGATTATTAACAACCTTTTTTTTTTTTATGTAAAATTATTATTAAAAAAAAAAATTGACTACCGTGTAATTTTTCCAAACTTTCTCCATCACCACCAAAATCGCTTGGTAATATTTCTTTCGGATACCATTCAAACAATTCGCTTGCATTTTTATGTAAAAAAATCTAAAATAATAATAATAATAATAGTACAAAGGAAAATTAAGCATTTCGTAAATGCTTGTCTGTTAATAATAACATCCATGTTAAAATCGGTTATTCGTTACAAAATTACGCAGCAAATTCTTTTTAAAAAATGTCTCTTACTCTTTCGGCTAATTTAGGTTTTACTAAAGATTTCACTAAAGTCACCATCCATTCTGCCGCTTGTGGAAGTCCAATTGCATGCATTCCTGAAATCCTGTATGGAAATATGGTCGTTATGACACCCATAACGGTCGCAACTATTTGTGGCGTCATTTTTTTTATATGTGAAAATTTAACGTTTTTGCAATCGGCTATGAAAACAACTCTACCATTTTTAATTTGATTTTCCTATAATTTCATTCATTTATTTATTAATCACAGAAAAAAATGTCAGAAGAAAAGATGGACGACGTGAGAAAAAGGACGACTTACCAAAACCAATATTTTAAACATGAGTGCATACATTTTGAATATTTCGCATGGATCAAAATCAATTTCGCAGTCTCTTATTTTTGTTGCTATTATTAAACTACCATCTTTGGCTCTTTGCGGTAACGGAACCTTGTACCTGAAAGGTAAAAAAAATTTAATTTTTTTTTTAAATATTAAATTATTATTACGTTCGAAAAGGGCGATGGGGATTCTCACGCGAGTTTTTGATCTATCATTGCACCATCGGAAAGTGGATTAAAATTCGTTAATATCTCCGGATACTTAATACGGCCCTGATAAAATTTATCGATAAATATTTTCGTCTTTTCCAAACTTCCCTTGAAAGCTCTGAAATACGTTGCAAATTCTTGATCCTCTGCAAAAAAGAAATTTTCTTATTTTCCAACGTTCCGCCATTTTGACGTCAAAGTAAAACATTTTTTAATTACCCAAATTGTGTGGAAGATACGGTACTGCTTGTATCCATTCTTTTAAATTTCTCAAATCCTCCGGAGTCGGATCGAATCTTTAAATAAAACAAAATAATAATAATAATAATAATAATAATAATAATATCCATTTGCAATAACACACGTCTTATTGCATAACTTAACTGGAAAAAATTAAATAAATTCATGGATGTTTAGTTTGCACAAAAAGTGCGATAATGGTAATAATAATGATAATATCGTCGTGCTAATTTAATTATTTCGATTATTTACGACAAAATTATTAAGCAATATAAATTAACACACGCACACACGCACACACGCACGCCATTTTAACATTGACAATGGCTTTCACAAAATTCATTGTCAGGTCATCAAGATTTAAAATAAAATTCAAAATTAGAAATTTTTTTCTTTTTTTTTTTTTTTTAGAGGCTTTTAAAAGTAATTAAGGTCATCATCATAAATAATTTTAAGTAAATTTTTTTTTTTTTTCTTTCTTATTAATCAAACATTCACGGTTTATTATTATTATTATTCTCTCACGCACGCACGCACACGCACAAACTCACGTGCGGGTAAATATTTATTATAGGAATAAATGGCGTGAAGATTGGATGGTTGGGGGGTTGGGTGGTGGTGGGGGTGCCTGAAAGGGGAGTAACACAAAAGAAATTTAAAAATATTAATGATAATAATAATAATAATAATAATAATAATAATAATAATAGTATAAGTATTTTTAAACGGGTTTTGGGCATAATTTTACCGTTTTTATAATTCTATATATACCTATAAGAGTCAGGTATGAATATAAAAATAAATTACAATACCTACAAAAAACGATGATGATGATGATGATATTAATGATAATGATAATGATGATATCAACGTGACAATATATGAATGAATAATCCGCGTATTAGGATAACAATAAATAAATTTTTTTTTTAATAAGTGACGTAAATGGCCAAATTTTGTATTCTTAACTCGTTCATTTACACTTGTTTGATTTGAAAAAAAGAGAGAGAGAGAGAGAGAGAGAGATAGAGATAGAGATAGAGATAGGAAAAGTTAAAAACTATGAAAATTGTAAAAAAAAAAAAAAAAATTCACGGTTTGAAGTTATTTCACGCAAATTTTCATTAAAAAAAAAAAAAAAAAAAAATCGGTTAAGGTAATCAGGTAGTTGAGGTAGTTTTTATCCTAAAAGAAAAAGACCTTTAAAAATTATTAACTGACCAAAAATTGCGAAATTTGAGTTTTTAAAAAATTTTAATTCGAAATTAATAATTTTATTTGTTAATAATAATAATAATAATAATAAATTTAAATATTTTGGCAATAAAAAAAAAAAGGAAAAAAGGGGGGACAAAAAATGGCTACGTGGATTTTCACTCGTTTGTTTTTTTTTTTTTTTATAAATAATTATTTAAAAACGAATGATAATAATAATAATTATCATTTTTAAATGATTATGATAATAATAATAATAATAATAAATAAATAAATTGTTTTTGTTCAGGTCGAAATTTAGGTATGGTTCGTACCTTTAAACAAATACGCAATTTTTTTTTTTAATAAAAAAAAAATATATAAATATTACTTACTCCATTTTTTTTTTTTTTTAATTAATTCAAAATTGTTTTACTGACGAACAAATAATTTATTAAAAATAATAATAATAATGACGGTTTTTCAACGAAAAAAAAAATAAATAAATAAAAATGTCGTTTACATTATAATAAAACTTTGGCGCGAATGGCACGACGGTCGGTCGGTTGGTCGGTAGCGTAAGAATCGAGAGTGGGGTTAAAATTTTAAATTTTATTATCATTATTATTACTATTTTTTTTTTTTTAAAATATTCAAGGGCTTTTGTTTTCACCACGCGAAAAATTTATTATTATTATTATTATTATTACTTAAATCTAGGACAGGTAATGGTGGTAATTTAATTTTTTTTTTTGTGTAATGGTTGCGTTAAAAGTTTTTCTTTTTTTTTTTTACCCGATTATTATTATTATTATTATTATTGCGAAATGATCGTCCTTCCGGAAAATGATTTTTAAATTTTCTTTCTTTCATTTTTCTTATTTCGAAATTCTCGTTAGATTTAAAAAAAAAAAAAAAAATTTTTTTTAATTTCCCTTTCTTTTTTTTTACTTAAAACGTACAAAACGTTTTATTAAATTTGTTTTTAATGTCGCGCCCTCCATTTTAAATATTAACAAATGAAATTTCTAAACGTTTTTCTCGTTTGTTGTTGTTGTTGTTGTTTTCCACTTAACGAAAAAATAAGGGATGGAATGTCGATAGGGTAAATAATTATTGTTACCGGTGAAGATGAACTTTGACCTTTATTAACTATCCCAGACAGTAATTTTCTCAATTCACAAAATCAAAACAAAATTTTATTAACGGAAAAATGATCATTTTTTCTCCTTTTTAACATTAATTTTACCGTACTAAACGATGGGGGGAGGGACGGGGGGAGGGGAATTTTCAACGCGTTTTCACAGGTTCGATTCTTTCGAGTGAAACGTCCAATTCTTGAATCATTTTCGGGAAAACGTTTAATGTTAAATTATTATACGTTTCGTTAATAACGTTTCCTACTTTTGAAGCATCTAACATTGATAAATGATTACCCTCGGCAAAATAAACATCCGCTGGATTTTTAAATAACTGAAAACAAAAAATATCAGGTTTTAGTCAAAGTATAAAATATAAGACGTATCGTCATCGTAATACAAAATACTCACGAGGGATAAATTATAATCTTCTGGTAAAATGGCGGGTAAAAATTGTTCGACGGGTCTTATCAAAATAATTTTAGATGATAATTTTTCACATTTCGACGCATCGTATTTAATTACGGCCGTTAAACGATGACGAAAATCGTTTGTTATCCGTTTCTGATGTTCTTTTCGATCCAAAACTTGTTCGGGTATAACTTTTTCCATGTAGGCCAATTTGTCTTCCCACGTTTTCAATGTGTTTAGTTCGTCTCTTATTTTGATATTCGTGCCGGGTACGAATAAATTGTAAATGGCGTGAAGCAAATTCGAATCGAGCGAATTCAAATCTTCCAAATCACCGAAAACGGTCGATACGATTTTTTTCAAATAATCCGGAGCGCCGTCGAGTAAAACGACGACTCCTTTGTAACCCTCTTTTTCCAATTCCCGAGCTATTTCGAGTGCCGTCAGCGAGCCCGTACTGTAGCCGACGATGAAAAATGGAAATGACGGAACCATGTGAGCTCTCACATCCTGCAAAATTGACAATGAGAAATTGTTCGTTAAATTTTTTTTTTTTTTTTTTTTTAAAAGGGGAATTCCCATTGGAAAAGGTTTACCAACCTTCAACATTCTTTTACTGATATCGGTTATGTTGGCATTTATGGAATCGTTGTAGGGAAATTGTAGGGCTACGATCGGACAATTGACTTTCAGGGCTAAAGGTTCTAGTACGGAAGCGACTCCTTCGAAACCAGGTATGAAAAATATCGGGGGAACTTTTCCGTGTAACGATTTCAATTTTTCTTCCAACCCCTCGTTCATTTGTCCCGTTTTTAATTTCATCATTGATTTTGTCGCCGTTTCTTCATCCGCTATCAATCGGAATAATAACCTTTGATGTTCCAACCTTTTCACTTCGGTTTCTGAAAATTATAATAAAAAGGTTGTTTGTCATTCGAGAACCTTTTTTTTTTTTTTTTTTTTTTTTTTGTTATTCGGCAAAGTAATTTTCTTAAGAATTTTTCCCGACCTTGAATCGGTATCATTTCTCCTTTTTCACCACCCTCGGCGCTGTTGTCGGCGAGTTGTTTGAGTTTGGCAAAAGTTAAACCTCTGATATCTTGAGCCGTCAAATACACGTCGAATTCTCTCTCAAGCGTTTGTTTTATTTCTACCGCCATCATCGAATCCATACCTAATTCGGCTAACGACGAATGTAACGAAACAGTTTTCAAATCTTGAAGACCTGAAACGAATAAAATTAATATTAATAATAATAATAATAATAATAATAGTTTTTGAAGGGTTAAAAAACTTGCCTAAAATATTGACGACGGCATCGACGATATTTCCACCTCCTGATCCTCCTGCTTTTTTTTCTGCCACCACCATCGATGCCACCACAGGATGTTTTTGTTTTAAAAATACGTCTAAACATTTTAAACAAGATGCTATGGATTGTTGAAGAGTTCCTCCTATAACCAATTCCTGATGGTCTTCTTGCATTTCGGCAACCAATCCGACTTCTCCTATGGCACCCCATTGTATGGCCAAACCCGGATATCCTTCTTCTACTCTTTTTTCGCATATTCTTTCCATCACCTAATCATCATCATCATCATCATCATCATTATGAAATATTGTAAGTAAGGAATTTATTCATTTTTTACGTGTTTTTCTTACCGAATTTGCCATTCCGTAATTGGTTTGTCCGGCATTACCTCTTCCGCAGGAAACGCTTGAAAATATGACAAAATACTGTAGAGCGGGGCAAAGTTGTCGACTGACTTTGTCCAAGTGTTTCGTAGCTACGGCTTTGGGACCGAAAGAAACATTAAAAGCTTCATCCGTTTGATTTTCAAATATGGCGTCTCGCAAAACCTAAATTGAAAAAAAAGAAATTGGCATTATTCCTTTTAGTTTTAAGCGGGAAAATAACGAGTCGTTCCTTCTTTTACAAACCACGGCTAGATTAAATATGGCGTCAACGGGTCCTAATTTTTCGGCGGATTTTAATAAATTCGTCACTCCTTGTTCGGTGGTGACATCTTCCGTCGAAATAATGACTTCCACTCCGTACGTTTTGAATAAACGAATTCTCAGGGCTTGATATCCGGTTTTTAAACCTGACCTGGACGTAAGCACGAGTTTTCTTGCTCCTCGCATAACCAACCAATCCGCCAATTCCAATCCGAATCCACCGAGTCCTCCTATAAAAAAAAAAAAAAAATAATTTCGCACATTTACGTAGTGACGTCACCATTTGAGGTTTCTTACCTAAGATTACGTAAGATTTCGTGTGGGAACAACAAACTTGCGGCACGGCGTCGAAAAGTTTAGGTTCAGGTACCATCACATCCACAGGTTCTTCATCTCTCATTTTAAGCATCACCTTTCCGATATGTTTACCAGTAGTTAAATACCTTTAAAAAAAAAAAAGGAATTATAATACCTAATCGAAGTGAACAAAAAAATTTTTTTTTTTTTTTTTTTTTTTTTTTTTAAAAATACCTGAAAGCTTGTTCGCATTCTGTAAAATCGTAAACGGTCGTTTTCAAAGGTGCAATTCTTGCTTTTTTTAAAACATCTCCAAGAAGGTCACGAACTTCCAATCGCTTATTTTGATTTTTAGAATAAAGAAGACCGTCCAAATGCACGCCGTGAAAACTTGTGTCCTTTAAAAATATTTCCATTTCTGTAAGAAAAAAATTTTTTTTTTTTTATTTCCGTAACTATTTTAATTGAACATTATTATTATTATTAATTATTTTCTTACCTATTGGATTGTCGTTGGATAAATCAAATTTACCAATTTCTAAAAATCTTCCACCTTTTGCCAAACATCTCATGGACGCTTGTAATTTTTCTTCGGACAGAGAATTCAATATGACGTCGACACCTCTTCCATTCGTTTCCCTGTTAATCATGTCTTCGAAACTCGTGTCTCTCGAATTACCAATATGGCTCTCGGGTATCTGAAAATTTTCTTCGTGGTTTGAGTTTTCATAACAAAAGAATATTTCATAAAAATATTTTTATTCTTACCCCCGGGTACAAATTTCTCAAATAGTCTCTTTTTTCCTGAGTGCCCACCGTAGTGAATATATTACATTCGAAATAGGTAGCAACGTATAAAGCAGCCAATCCCACACCTCCCGTACCTGAATGTATGAGTACGGAGTCACCTTTTTGCAAACGACCTCTGACCACCAAAGACGTGTACACCTGAGAAATGATGAGTAACTATCAATTACGAGACATTCAAAAAGGATGTAAGTCGATGTTATTTCTTGTAAATACCGTAGCGTAAACGATGGGCACGGAAGCCGCTTGTTCGAGTGACCAACTTTTAGGGACTTCCCAAAGTAAAACATCTTTCGTGTGTATTTTTGATGCGAGAGCTCCGTGTTTCGTCATTCCCATCACACGCTTACCACTTTTCGCCATTCTTCCGGAAAATTCTAATCCGATGGGTAATTGCTGAAAATTTAATCAATTTTCCATTTATAAATTAAAACCTGAAATTTATTTTACCGTTTTAAATTTAACGTACCTGATTAATTCTACCCTTGGCAGCGGCATCTATGGCTAATTTTCCACTCGCTAACATGACATCTCTAAAATTGATGGCCGCGTAATATATAATGACTTCTTCGTCATCGTATTTACTGAAATAATAATAATAATAATAATTATTATTATTATTATTATTTTTCTATAAAATCATTTCGAAAAATTAAAATAATGATAATTAGAATCTTACTTAACGTTCAAAGGACCCTCGTACATGGTCAAAGAGGATAAATCTCCTCTTATTTCGGTATTGAAATAAATATGTTCGGCACCGACGGTTTGATTGGAGGGAAGAGCTTCGTGCCTGTAGGTACCCCATTTTTTATTTTTGTAAATGTTAACGGCTAAACCTTTTTCCAATTGTTCGGCGTATAACGGATTTGTCAGATCGAAACTCGGAGCGTCTTTATCGAAAACGAAAACTCCCCTTTAAAAAAAAAAAAATTTTCTTTTTATTAACCAAAACTTTCGAAAGGAATTAAAACTTCAAAAGGGGAGATAAAATACCTGACTTTTTCACCGCCCCCCGGCTCTTTTCTTATGCAATTAACAAAACCTAATAAACCGTTGTTTTCTTCTTTTTCCGAAACTAAAAATATTGTTTTTACGGATTCGTTGGTTAAACTCTTTTTCAATGGTTCTATCCATTGAAATTCATCCTTTTCTGATATTTTGAAAACTTCGATTGCTTCGTTCGTTGGTACTTTTTCAACACTCGACTGTAATAAAATTTTCCACGTGTTAAGAATAGGGAAACGACGTTGGAATCCATTTCCGGTACAAATTTTTCATCATTACCTTGCTTTTTAATAATAGTATAACTTCATTTCCGACGACTCTATTCACGAGTACGTGAAAATCATCCAACGGTAACGAATCATTTAAATTTTCACGTACAATTAAATAACCCTCGGGTTTTAAAGATTTCAAAGTTTGTTCGACTTGCGCGGAATCTTGTAATAAATTCCTACCGATGACTGCCAAACAATTTTGTTCTGCTGTAATTTTTTTATCTTCGACCGTTATTCCGGGAGAAATGTCACCCGTTTTCTGATTGTTCGACGTCAATACGATTATCTCTGCCTAAAACAAAAAAAAAATTTTAAAACTTTATAAAAGTTCAAGTTTAACTAAAAACTTCCTTAGTTTTAATATAATTTACCTGAACTAAGGGTAAATCACCCAAAATGGAAGCCACCATATTGCAAGCAAGATCTTCGGCATCACCCAATTCCACGACTTTAACTTTAATGCTTTGAACATTTTCTAAAATAACGTGAATGCAAAGTCTAAGAGCTTCCAAAAGGCTCAGAGCCTGAAATTTTAACGAAATTTCGTAACGTTTTCCCAAATCACCTTAATGATAAAATGAAAATCACGTTAAATACCTCGGATTCGTTTCGCGTTACGTGTGGCATAAATCTATGCCTTTCCAAAACAGGTTCGCCCAATGGTTTTTTCCGTGGGATTTGCGTGGCTCTTAATTCGTAAATTTCAATTCCGCCGGAAATGATTGTTTTTATATCTTTGTAAATTGATACGTTCACTGTAATAAACATTTTACACAAAAAATTAATAAAAATGAATTCATTTTAAAAAGAACTAATGAAACCATGTAATTACATATAACGTCCTTATTTTCTTCCACTGTTGCCTTTTGTACGCATTGCATGTGTTTTAACGGATTAATAACCAATTTTTTAATCGTTGTCGGTACGTACAAACTTCTCGTATCCTCTTGTAAAATTTGAGTTTGTAATAAATTATCCATGAATGCGACGTAGTTATTCGACCAAATAATTTTCCCTGTTTTTCCTATTAAAAAAAAAAAAATTTTTTAAAGTGAGATTAAAAATTTAAGGTTCGCGTTAGTAGTAGTAAAAAAAAAAAAATTAGTTTTTAATTACCTAAATTATCTAACGAAACTAAACCTCTAAACAATCCCTTGTAATGATAACCACGAAGTCTTAATTCTTTGTAAACATCTCGACCGTTCAAAGGTATCAAACCCTCACCTTCTGCCGGACTTTGTTCGGGTAAATTCATTGTTTCTTCATCGACGTTTTCAGGCATAAAAGCTCGACCCGTGACGATGGGCGCCCCACCTTCTGAAATTTCAAACTTACCGGATGCTTTTTGCACGGATATAACAAATTCGACGGAACCTTAAAAAAAAAAACTGAAATTAATAAAATTAAACCTTTTTAAAAAAAACAAAAAAATCTTTTTTCTTCTTACCATCTTTTGGCACCGTGGTAGCTCTGTTAAATTTAACATTTTCGAAAACTATGGGAAGCTGAGTGTAAAATTGACCTAATATCATACTGAAAGTTTCCCAAACTAAAGTCTAAAAAAATTAAAAAAAAAATTGTTTGAAAAGGTTAATAATACACTTATATATATAATTAAATAAACTTACCAAATATCCGGTGGCCGGAAATAAATTTCTACCATCGATCATGTGTCCGGTTATAAATTCAAAATCTTCATCTTTTATGTTAACCGTAACAGATCTTTCGCCGCTTTTAATCTTTTCTTGCATTCTGTATGACGTAATATACCAATCCAAAGAGTGGTTCCACTTCACGAACGGTGAAATCATTTTAGTTCCTTTAGAAACAGGATATTGAACTGGTGGATACAGGTTCGTGACTTGCGGTTGGAAACCTAATTCGTATAACCTATAAAAAAATAAATGTAGTAATTCGACTATCATCATCTCGATGCCATTTCCAACAACTAAAATCTCTTACTCTCCGATGGCACCAAACGCTGCGTTAAATTCGCTCGTGTATTTTTCATCCACCGAAGGAAAACTTAAAACGGGATTTTTTAAATTATTTAAATTTTTTTGTAACGTCGCAAATGGGGATATTTCGAGTACGACGGCTTTTTTTGGAATTTGCATCAGGGAATTGTCGAAACGAATCGGATTTAAAAGTTCCGCGGTGAAATATTTAGGTGAACACAATTTGATTTCTGAAAAACTCATTAAACCGGAAGTCGTCAAAGAACTGATCCACTTGCTCGATCTGGGTTTGCTATTTGGAATTACCTGTGTAACAATACATTAATAATTTTTTTTTTAAATGTTTTTTTATACAAGAAAGATATGTTAGAAAGAAAAAATTAACAAACTTTTTTTAAATATTCGAGGAGTTTGGGTGCAGCTTTCGCGGTGTAACGACTATGCAGTGGTAAATTAAAAGAAAATATTTCCGTTACTGAAACTCCATCGTTGATTAATTTTTTCGAGAATTTTCTTATGTCGTCCGCAGGACCCGAGAGTACGCAAGAATCGGAAGCGTCACGAGAAGCGACATCAATTTCAGATGGTAAATATAATCTCAATTTTGAATACTCCATTTCTAAAATTAAAATTTAATTTTTAGCATCAAGTTAAAGTGAAAAAAAAACTAATAATAATAATATTAATCGTACGTACCGACTTCGACCATGGCTCCACGAATGATGTTACTTTCGATCAAAGACAAACCGGTGTAATAAGCACACAGGACTGTTTGTTCTGCGGTAAAACAACCATCGGCATAACCACAAAGGAATTCACCGAATGAATGTCCTAGTAAACCATCGGGATAAATCCCTATTGATGATAAAAGATCCACGAGTCCTACCTAAATTTGAAAAAAAAAAAAAAAAATGATTTTTTTTGTTTAAACTACGAATATTTAAATAAATAAATTTTTTTTTTTTTTAACTTACTTGTATGGCAGTTGTTGCAACCATGTTATGTATTAAATCCCCAACATTTTTTACGTTATTTTCCAGGATGAATTTTTTAAGATTGATTTTCATTGGCACAAGTGCATCGTGACATTTTTCCACGGCTTTAGCAAAAGCGGGGATTTCCATAAGAGTTTTTCCAAACTTTAAATTTTTCATTTCCAATCCGGAAAATACGAATAAAAGTTGTTTCTTTTCACCGAAAAAGTGCTGGAAAAAAAAAGAGAGAATTAATGTACAAAATTTTTTTTATTTTTACACAAAATAAACAAAAAAAAAAAATTAAAGAAACCTTAACGTCTCTAATTTTCTTTTTAGATTCCGAAAGAATAGTAAAACCTCGATATAAATGACCGGGAATATTTTCCGAGTGAACATCGTGTAGTAATTTTACGTACTCGACATCAATAGGATGTGATTCTAACTAAAAAAAAAAAAAAAATGGATTCCAAATTAGTTTTAGTTTTTTGTAATAAAAAAAAAAAAAATAATGGAGGAATTCTTACTTCGTTTAATAAAACTTCAACGGCTTCTTCCGTACGACCAGATATTAAAACTAATCTCGGTAATTTATCAGTTGGTAATCCTCCATTAACTTTTTCTTTTTCGTTCCATTTTAATAAAATGTGACAGTTGGCACCACCGAAACCGAATGAATTCACGCCGAAGAGACCTCCGGTACAAGGTTCTTTTTCGGTGACCACCTTTTAAAATTAAAAAAGTGATTATGTTCATTTGAAAAAAAAAAAAAAAATTAATATTAATATTAATAAGTTCGAGGATTTATTTACTTTTAATCTGCCCTCGGTAAAAGCAGGTATCCCTTCTCTAGCTTTTTTAAAATGTATGTTGGGTGGTATGAAACCTGATTCCATGGCTATTATGGATTTAGTAATGGAACACAATCCTGACGCAGGTTCGGTGTGTCCGATATTTGATTTTATGGATCCTATCAAAAGAGGATCTTTTCTTCCGGTGCAAAATATTTTATCCAACGTATTACATTCTTCAGGATCGCCAACCTGTGCAAAAAAAAAATTCGGTAAGGAAAATTTTTAATTTTACAAAGTTGCTCGACGCAAATTAATTTACTTTAGTTCCGGTTCCGTGAGCTTCAATGAAATTGACCGTCGTGGGATTCACGCCGCATTCTTCGTAAAATTCACGTAATAATTCATATTGTATTTGACCGCTCGGGTAGGTGATACCTTCTTCTTTGTAACCGTCGCAATTAGTTTTGCAATGGACTATGGTGGAATAAATTCTTCGTGCGTCTTTTGCTTTTTGTAAAATTACAACCGGAACGGCTTCGGATCTGCAGTATCCGTTCGCTAAAACAAATAAATTTTAAGTATACGCATAAAACTTTCTTTTTAAAATAATTTTCTTTACTTACCGCATTCGTCAAATGATTTACATGCGCCATCTTTGGACAGTACTCCAAGACGAAAAAACTGAAGTGATACGTACGGATGTAAACACAAATTACTACTCCCGACTATGGCCATGTCGCAATTACCCTGTCTGATATTTTGATAGGCCTGATCTATGGCATAGGATGAAGAAGAACAGGCTGAATCAACGGTATAACTCGGTCCTGAAAAAAAAAATCATAAAACCTTTGTTTACAAAAAAAAAAAAATCCGAGATTTTAATACATCAATAGAATTAATACACCAACCGTTAACTCCCAACCAATAAGAAATCCTGTTGGCCAACATGGTTCTCGAACATCCTGTTATACCAAAACCGTTAACATTTAACTTTTCGTAAAACCAGGTTTTTTCCGATTCGCTAAAACAAGTACCGACAAAAACTCCACATCGTTTTCCTCTCAATTCTTCCGGATTGATACCTATTATAAATTGATTTTGTCAGTATCAAAATATTCATAAAAAAATGAGATTTTATTTTAAATAATGATAATAATAATACCTGCATCTACGATAGCTTCATATGTTCTTTCCATAAGCAATCTACCCATCGGATCCATAGTGTGGGCTTGTTTATAATGTAAACCGAAGAATGAAGCATCGAATTTCGATACAAAATTAACTTTACCAGTTCTTTGAGGGATTTCCGGATGATCTAAAAAAAAAAAAAAAAAATTTAATTTTTAATCGTGAAAAGGTTTATTTAAAAGATAATGAATTCGTTCGTACTTAATTTCCATCGTCTGTCATCGTCGGAAACTAAATCAATTTTTTTAAATAATTTATCTCTGAAATCGTAAACGTTATCACTATCCGGAAATCGTCCAGAAAGTCCAGATATAACAATTTCTTCTCCAGGTGGTGGATGTGCTATTCTAACCCCGGCAATTTTATTTCTAGCCCGACATTCACTCGGAGATCTCATGATTAATTCTAAATTAAATAAATAAATAAATAAATAAATTATACACAAAAAAATATAAATTATTTATAATAAAAATATAAAATTATTTATTACTAACCGATGGTTATTTCTTAACCTTATTAAAAAAATTTTAACTAACTAGTATTATTATTATTATATTTGTGTTAAAAATTATGATATTATCACTCTACACCATTAAAATAAAAATAAATAATAAATAAATAAATAAAAAAATAAGCCCTTATGGTCCGTCCAAGGCCCACCGCACAGAAAAACAAAGAATTTAATTTCTTAAAAAAAATTGTTTTATATAATGGTGCGAAAAAAATGTTGATGAGCATATTAATTAAATCCATATTTTAACTCCTGGGTCACAAATCCCCCTTATTTATATTCAAAAAAAAAAAAACTTCATTTTATATCTAATTAATTCTAACAACAACAAAAAAAAAAAAAAAAAAAAAATTTAATAATTTTGATTCCGTGACAACAATAAATCACAAAATCGTTTACACAATTTAATACCATTAAAAAATAAATTAAATTGTAATTTAAAAATAATTACTTTTTTACAAAAGTAAATTAATTAATAACAATCAATCAATCAATCAATCAATCACATTTTACAAAAAAAAAAAAAATTCTAAAATTTCATGTTCGATTCAATTTTCTATTTTAGAAAAAAAATTAGAAATTTTTTTCCCTTTACAAATTTTATTAAAAAAAATATACAAAAAATAATTATTATTATTTTTGTTTTGGGGGGAGGGGGAGGGGGGGGAATCGTGAAACAAAAAAAAAAAAAAATTTGTTACATTTATTCAATAAGGTAATAACAATAAAAATGTGCAAAAAAAAAAGAAAAAAAAAAAGAGTTCAAGGTATTTTTTTTTTTTTTTTTTTACGGGGTTCAAAGATCAAATCAAATCAAACAGGATATAATTATGTATTCCTTTATTTCCATTTATTCAATAAACAAATGAAAAATAATAATAATAATAACAACCTTAGGACACTTACAAACGAAACAAACAAACAAAAAATTGTTACAAGTTACAAAATTTTTTATTACATTTATTTTTTAAAAAAAAAATTATTTTTTTTCAATTAATTTGTAAAGTCCTAAGGTGATTATTAAAACTATTAAAATTATTATTATTATTATTATTAATATACATACTTAAAATAACACAAAAATTTGTCCTAATCTTTGGAAATTTATAAAAAAAAGAGAGTGTGAGTTTAAAAAAAAAATTTTTTTTTTATTGGTTCCCCTTCTAGACCAACACGATACGCCATGTATATGGGGAGGGGGGAGGAAGGGGGCATTGCACTCATTAGAATAACAAATCAATTTTTTTTTATATTAAAAACAATCAAGTTATTATTATTATTATTATTATTTTGTTTAAATAATACTGATTTTTAAAAAAATATTATTTAATCTCACAATATATATATAAATAGTTTATTATCGTGTAAACTTAAATAATATTTTTTTTTTTTTTTTATAAAAAATATATTTATATAATATAAAATTACAAAAGTAATTTAATTTTACTTAAATATTTATATTATTTATGAAGATTTTAATGGAAAAATCATCGTTTAATTATTTCATGCACTACACGTTACTATCGATTTACTCATTAATAATAATAATAATAATAAAAGTTTAACACTAATTAACAATAAATAATTAATTATTATTATTATTAAAAAGGCATTCATCATTGCAATAGAGCAAAAGAATATAAGATGATTATTATTATTATTATTGATTAATAACAATAAATAATATTTTAATTAAATGTGTATAAAATAAAATTATTTTACTTAAAGCTACGACGTAATTTTAACTATTTTATTTTATTATTATTATTATTAATAATCACCAAAATCTTTCTTTGTATTTGTAGTATCATCATCATCATCATCTTATTTAAGTCATTTATTTATTTATTTATTAATTAATTAATTAACTTCAGTCGATACATTGTTTTCTCTTCAAAACATTTTTCACGTTTCAAAATGTTTATAAATGGCAGTGATGTAACTCATTATTTGTTGCCAATCAGGTCTCTCCAATTGAACCATGTCGGTTATATTCTGAAAAAATAAATAAATATTTATGTATTACGTCAACAACAATAAATTCCCAACGCTTGTTTGTTTGTTTGTTGAGAAATGATTGTTCTTTAATATTTCGATCGGAATCGAACAAGAAAACCTGAAACGAAAACAAACTGAAAGAAAATTTTAAAGGTACGTGAAGTTTGACGCACTCTTTAATAATAATAATAATAATAATAATTGTTTATTGCAATTTAAACCCAAACATGTTAAATTAATAATAATAATAATAATAATAATAATAATAATAATAATAATAATAATTAAAATTTTAAATCTTACCAGAGAAGTTTGTATTCCTACACTCTCGGCAGCCTCGAAAGCGATTGTAAAATTTCTTTTTTTTTCATTAGGCACGAGTGTGTCGTAGGGAACTTTATCGGGTAAATAAGTGTGCAATAATGCACAAAAACCTAAACCTGAAAAAATAATAATAATAATAATAAATTTTTAATAAAATTTTACAATTTTTTTCTTCATTCTCCAAGTGTGATTATTACTCACCATCGTTCCAACTACTGCTAAAATTTGTTATGTCTATATTTTTATACCCGGACGTTTTATTTTGACACCATTTTAACAAAGCGTTTCGTTTAGATCCGCCATTTTTTGCCAGAGTCGACAATGGATCTTTTCGCTCTCCTAAAAAAAAACGAATCAAAATTAACAAAATGGTTTAAAAAGCTTCTGCTAATTTTATACAAAAAGAAAAAAACTTACCAATGTCACTGTAACTATTCCTTCTAGAATAATCGATATTTTTATTTGATAAAATCGACACCGGAGTTATATCCGTTTTATATGCTTGACAATCTAAAAAAAAATTCATTTTATTATTATTATTATTATTGATAATTATAATATAATTAAAATAAATTCAACATAAACGATTTGAATTTACCCGTGAGTATAATATTACGAGAATTATTATTTTGATTTGGATTTCCTTTATTATTATTATTATTATTATACGTTTGACTAGTCTTAACAATTTCGCTGTCGGAATAATATCTACCCTGAGTTCCAGATGTAATACTCGATGTAATCGTAGGTACCGTACACCTAACGTCACTCGCTATGGATGATAATGATGATGTTGAAGAACTCCTACTACCTGGTCCTTTAAACAAAGGGTACGCAAAATTGAATTAGTGATAATAATAATAATATAAAAATAAAAACGCGTTGTCTTCTATAAACCAAAAACCTTTAACAAGTTATATGTACATATGTATAGACGTAATTAAATTTAAAAACAAAAATGGCAGCCCGATTTAAAATTTAATTAAAATTTGAAAAGATATTAAACAATAAAAAATACGAAAACTCCATATTTATATATAATTATATTACCTGCTTTTGCTTGTTTCGTTGCATTTTCAATACTTTCGATGAGGGATTTAACCGAAAGTCTTGAATCTTGCCTCGAAATCCCCTGCTTCGTTCTCCTGTTGGCAAGATCCTGTTGGACCGAATTAAGAACTGAGGCACTCGTGTCGGTGAGCGTCGTCGGGGTGGGGGAAGGAAGTTTCACTATAAAACAACACAAAACATTCATCCCCAAACCAAATATGCAATAAGCAAATAATAATAATAACGTTCAATAATAATAATAATAATGATAAATACAAATATACGACCCAACGATAAGAATTATTTAAATACAAAATTAAAAGTTAGTAAGTTATTTATTATCTTTATGTAAATATATATACAAAAAAAAAAAAAAAGAAAGCAATTGTGCCTATTTAAGCGAAATTAAAAATAATTATCATTTTTTATAGGAGAAGAACACATAACTGTTATTTTGGACGATAAAGGATTTCGTCGAAAGAGAAAATTGTCTGAAAAATAAGGATTTAAAAAAAAAAAAAAAAAATTTAAATTAAAATCACCTCCCCTAATTCTAATACTAATAATAATAATAATAATTTCATGCTAAAATAAAATAAAAAAAAAAAAATTTTAAAAGCTACGATGTGAAGCATATAAAGGCACATTACTTAGTCACAAACTCACCCTTCAATTTGTCGATTTGCGCCTCCAAATTTTTAACTTTTTCTTTTAATTCTTTATTTTCTGCAATTAACATTTCCGATTGCGTTTGAGCTTCCGTTTTCAAATCGTTTGCCACTCTCACGGTCATTAACAAATCCGATTGAAACTGTTCCCATTCCTCATTCTAAAACGAAATGAATGATTTGAATGATGCTTACATTAAATTCATTTACTTTAAAAAATTCGATTGAGCTTACTTTTTCCATTTTGATCCTTTTTTCCTCGTTCAATATTCTCTCGAGTTCCGACAGTTTTTTCTCATTTAAAACCAAATGTTTTTGAGTTTCGCTTAAAACGGATTTTAATTGGAGTTTATCTTCCAAATGACACTGAGCTTGAACTTGCAATTCGGCTGCAAGTTCTCTCGATTCTTGCAATTCTTGACTAACGATTAACTTATCATTTTTTAATTGTTCTAATTGATATTCTAAATTGCTAACAGCTGATTTAGCATTATTTCTCGTGACCTGGAATGAAAGGGGATTTGTTTTAAAGGAAGGTTATGGAGAATTATTATAGAAATCACAATCAATCAATCAATCAATCAATCAATCTTACCTTGCACTCTTCTTGTAATTGCCTGAATTGTTCTTTTAATTTTTCAACCTCACATTTACTTCTAGATAATTGTTCTTGTAAATTAGCTACTTGGGATTCTAATAAATCTTTTTCTTTTCGAGCGTTATCTATAACTTTATCCACTTCAGATTTATCTCCTAATTCACGAGTTTTTTCTAATTCTAAAATCTGAACAAAACAAAACAATTAAAAAAATTTTAAATAGTTGTTTTTAATTTAAACGTTGAGAATAAAGCATTACCTTTGCTTTTGCATTATCCAATAAAGTATTTAATCTATTTATTTCAATGAATCGAGAATTACTTTCTTCTTTAGCCAATGAAAATTCTTGTTCTATTTGTTTTCTCTCCGCATTTGTTGCTTCCACAGTAAACTCTAACAACTTAACTCTAAAAGGTAATAATGAAATAATTAATTATTTAATAAATTCAAGTAAATAAAAAAATATAAATTTACCTTTCGCTTAATCTATCTGCTTCTTGTCCACCCGAATCTGCAGCATTCCTTACTTCAGTCAATTGATTATTTAATTCTTCTTGCTTTAATAATAAAGCTTCTCTTTCATCCTGAGCACTCTGTATAGAAAAAAAACAGTGTACAGTTAATTTATTAAAATCGATATAAAATTAAGGTCATGGCTTTAATAATTTTGATTTTACTACCTTTAATAAATCCACTAATTTCTGCTCTCTTTCAGAACACGTATCTCCATCTTTTCCTTTAAGTAATAACTCTTGTAATGTATCAACTTTAATCCTTGAGTCTTCTAATTTTTCTGTTTGTCTACATAATGATTCCAATAGTACATTTTTTTCTTCTGTCAGTCTTTCATTTTCCGTCTGAAGATCAATTAGTTGCGTTTGTAAATCGGCTAATTCTTGTAATGTCGCTTGAAGTTCCTCATTTGTACTAAATTAAAAAGTAAATTTTTTTATTCGTTATACACAAACAGAAATGCTGGAAATGCTATTTTAAACATTAAAATGTACAAAAAAAAATTTTTTTATGTCTTATTGTTTAAAACAATTACCTATGATGAGTTTCTTCCATTTGCATAATTCTATCTTGCAAACAAGCGACAGAAACTTCACTCAAGCTACTACATGAATGTTTATCCCAGTCTGGAGTAGGACAAGTACCATCAACTCCTTCAGCATTTTGGCAGGCTAAATCCTACAAAAAAAAAAAAATTAAAAAAAAATAAAAATGAAATTAATTTTTAATTTACTTAGCTAACAATTGTCATCATTATCAAAATCTGTTACTTACATTTAACACTAAATCATGTTTAACTGGTTCTTTTTCTAAATTTAAAACGGGACTAAAATGATCTGTTGTATCCTTAAGTTTTGCTTTTAAAGCCATATTTTCACTTTCTAATGTTTCTAATTCCGATATTTTTTCATCGTGCAGTCTATTAATTTCAATTTTAAGAGCTTCAATTTCTGCATCTTTCGATTTTAAACTTTTATTCAGTCTTTCTTCTGCTTCTTTATTTATATGAATTATTTTATCCATTTCACTAAAACAAAAATCGAAAATATTTTGAAATATGAATGCTTCGATAAATATAAACAAAATAATTTTTTTTTTTTTGAGCTTATTAAAGTTTTTTAAAAAATTTATATTTAATTTAATTCAAAATTAAATTAATGTATAGAATATTTTATGGTTTAATTTTTTCCACTCTAATAAATTGACAGTGGAAATAAATAAAAAAATAATAATAATAATTACATCTTTTAAAAAAAAAAAACCTGACAAAATTTATCCCCGGTCACTACTTATAAGTCAGCGTCTCACTTCACTAACCTAATACAAATTGAATAAATAACACGAATTGAAAAAAATATATAAAAATTTTTACTAAATGACTAGAAGCTTTCGATTTAATTTTTATATATAAAAAAAAAAGCTCCCGAAACATTTAACGTAAAAGAAAATGGGCAAACCGTTTTCAAATTAATTGAAACGGACGCCATTTTTAAAAAACTTAACTACTACACTAAATGTCAATCTTACGTACTTGCTACCACGTCAAAAAAAAAAAAAAACCGCGAAAATTTTAAAAATTCAACAAAACAAAACAAAACAAAAAAATTATTAACATGTCATACTTATCTATAAGTTGTTGTTTGTTGCATATTTAAAATTATAACCATACTTTATTAAAATTATTTTATCAACTGTTAACAATTTCAAATAAAAAAATTTTTCATGTATTTTTTTTTTTTTACACTAAAATAAATTTAATGCTACATAACAAAGCATTTAGCATGACAGCCAAACACATAATTTTTATTTTTTTGGTGTATAAAAAAAAAAATAAAAAAATAAAACCTAATTAATAACCTAATCGATAAATTTATATAAAATTAATTTTTTATTTAATTTTTAATTAAAACTATTACTATTATTTATTCAGCAAATAATAATAATAATAATTAAAATGAAAACAAAAAAAAAATGTTATCACTATTGTAAACAATACTTTCTCAATTCCTCAAAAATGAATAAATATAAAATTATCAGAGTAGAAATTATTATTATTATTATTATTATTACTGTTTTTTTTCTTTTTTCAAATCTACCCTTTACTTTTATTATTATTATTATTATTATTATTTTTAATAAAAAATTTTTAATAAATTAAAAAAAAATAATTAGTAAAATGTAAATTATTTTTAATATCAGTTAACCGAATAACATACTTTTATTATTATTATACAGGAGAAGACAAAATAATTATATTTTATCTCAGTTATAATAATAATAATAATAATAATAATAATAATAATTTGATGCAATTAATTTAATATGAATCAACAACAACAACAACAACACATTAGATGGTGAAATATAAGGGGGAGGGGAGGGGAGGGGAGGGGAGGGAAGAAAATTTAATTTTTATTTGGTCTACGTTGTAGAGTCAAATTCAATAAAAAGTAATGTAATATATATTAAAATGAATAGATAATTATTTCCTTCAAAATTTATTAAATAAACTTTTGTGTGTGTGTGTGTGCGTGTGAATTAATTCAAAGGAAAAAAAATGTATTATTACATAATTGATTATCTTTTTCTTTTTTACATATTTAATAAAAGCATGTAATAGTTTTTTTTTTTTAAATGGGAATTGATGAAAATGCGCGGGAAAAATTAAGATTATGTAAAAGATAAGTAATGTAAATTTTTTACGAGTCGGCAAAAAATATTATGTCAAATAAATTTATTAAATAATTTCACGGATAAATATATTATTATTATTATTATTATTATTTTATATGTGACGTTAAAAAAAATGTAAAGTACGCTTAATCGCCTTATAAGTTAATTATTATTATTATTATTATTATTGCATACAGAAAATAACCTAGGAAATGCCTTTAAAAAACATTTCATTTGTTTTTTTTTTTTATAAATAAATAAATAAAATGATTAAAAAAAAGGTTTTTTCTTACCTGCGTTCGACATTGATTTTAGAATCCGAATGATTTTTAAAATTATCTTGTTTTTCCCGTGCTGAATTTTTACCTAGTCTTTAACATATCATCAGAATCCTTTTTCATATGCAATATATTACTAGATGATGGAGCTTTTAAAACTCTTCCCTATTGATTTTTGATTATCAAAATTTCCAAAATTTTCTTCGCTAAAAACGCTATCCAACGAAATCGCACTTTCTTTTTCTTTAGAAATATCCTTCTTACTCTTTCCGCCATCTTTAACTCCGTCTAAATTATCTAACGAATTAACATTTCTCTTTTGCGTGCTTAAAGCTAAAAAATTTTCACTAGAATTCGATTTGGTTTTTTCAATTTTTTTATGTTTATCACCGATTTTCCTTTTTCCAATGGATTCATTATGTGGTTTACACTTATTTTCACTACCCGGAGCATTCGGACGACTAAATAATTTAATAAACTTGTGCATTTTTAATAAAATGATTCGAACGACAAAAAAAAAAAAAAAAACCTAAAGGATTATATTACACCATTTACTCTCTGACTTCGACGAGACGCGTTCCTTATCTCTAAACGTATAAAATATTTTTGTCAGTTACAATTCAAGATGGCGGTGAAATGTTCACACATTCAAATTGGTTCAAAAATTTTGACATTTTTCATTCGTTTATTATCATTTATTTATTACTCTCTTTAAGTAAAAGGTATTAAAAAAAAAAAAAAAATTTTAATCGTTGTCCGGCGTACGATATTAAACGACAACTTTGTGAGATGTTTCTGAAAAAAAAATAAAAAGAAAAATAAAATTAATAATATGTTTATTCGTTCAATTATGCAACATGGCGGTTCGTGGTTAAACCTTAACTAAATAATCATAATTCATTTTTTTATAAATCTTACAAAAAAAAAAATGAAATAAATTTTGTTTATATTAAATTAAAAAGGTTTGTTGTAATATTTATTTCAACATAATTATTCATGTTTACTTTGTTTTTCGTTTTTCAAATTTTGAAATTTTGAAACATTCATTAAATAATCAAAATTGTAAATTATATATTTTGCTCATACTGTATAAATTTTATGAAATTGTTTGTTTGATGTTTAAAATACAGTTAAATTTTCATCATTTATATATTTAAAAAAAGCAAACTATGATATTTATATATAAGGTAATTGAAATTAAATTGTTTTTTTTCTTTTTTGTACCGTGTTAAAGGTGCCGTTACACATCTAGGCTTCGTTAATAAAAAAAAAAATTTGCTGGCCCATCATTATTTATTATTTATTTTTAAAATAAATAAAAAAAAAGTTTTCAATTTTTACCTTATTCTACGTTCGTTAAATGCAATAATATAAGTAATATAATTTCATCATATTTTTAGAGAAAATTATTTCATTATTTATTTTCTTACAGATAACATCCATAAAAAAACATGAGAGTCAAATACATTCAACAAAATGGCGGGTTTTCCTTTCTATGACGTTCTACGATTTGAAAATGAAAAACACGGATAATTATAACCGTTGTATTAATTAATAATTACTAAATATAATAACGGAATGAAAACGATGGTAAAAATGTAAATAAATAGGAAATACATTGTAAAAAAAAAAAAAATTATTTATAAAGTAAATAAGTCTTCCTACACTTGTATAAATCAAATCATTAAAAAATGATAAATAAAAAAATTCTAGGTAATTGTTTTTAAATAAATGGCCATTGTATTATACTTCATTTTCCTATGAGTCATAAAAAAATCGTTACAATACTTTAAATTTATTAACGATTTAATTTTTTTTTTTAGAGAAAAAAAAACGTCGTAGGTGAAAATAGTTAAACGAATGATTAAAATGAAATTCCAATGAAAACAAAACGTAAATAAAAAATGAAAGACCATGAGATTCATCTCCGTTTCACTAAAATACTAGATAGAAAACCGGAGATCCAAGTTTTATGTGGAAGCAGGTCGAGTTGACGCCCCAAATGCAAAAATATTTAATCAATCAAATAACAACAACAACAACAACAACAACAATGGCGGTCCTTTGAACTGTATACATAAAAAGATAAACAAAGATATACAAACAATTATAGATAAAAAGAAAAAAAAATTAATATATAAATAAACATAGTAGAAAAATAATTTAACGTTAGATAATAATAATAACGTGACATTTGAGAATTCAATTTTTTTTTTG